AGCACCCCAACTTCTCTTTCAGGTAACTGTCAGCAACACAGCAGTAAATATCACCATGAAGCAGATTATTATTGTAGATCACGCAGGGATAACAAAGGGTAAAATATTTAATTGCAGCAGTGTTTGACTATATTCTGCACAGTGAGAAAACCTAAAGTAATATTCAAGGGCCATCATTTCCTACTTCTTTTCAGTTGGGTCAAGTTTCTAAACTTTCTAAATCTCTGTTTTCTGGCTAATGAAAGGAAAATAGGATTCCACCGAGGCTCCTATCTACCTACTCCAGGACTTCTGTGAGGATCAAATGAGATGAGGCATGAAAAATGCTTCACAGACTTTTGGTTAAAGTGTAAAATATTTGCATCTGGCTATAAAGCAAGTTGTGTTCCTGGGCTAAAGAAACTGCAAGGAGGCTAGTCGTGAGAGAGAGGAAGCGGCATTGCTACATGATGTCATTACCCGGACGGACACTTAGCATATTAGTCTTTTATATATATATAGACTAGAGGCCCGGTGCACAAAATTTGTGCATGAGGGGCGTGTCCCTCAGCTGAGCCTGCATCCTCTCCAATCTAGGACCCTTCGGACATCCCTTTCACAATCTGGCACTGCTGGCTCCTAACCACTCGCCTGCCTGACTGCCCAATTGCCCCTAACCTCTTCTGCCTGCCAGCCTGATTGCCTTAACCACTCCCAAGCCAGCCTGATTAACGCCTAACTGCTCCCCTGCCAGCCTGATTGCCCCCAACTTCCGTCCCCTGCTGGCCTGATTGCCCACAACTATCCTCCCCTGCCGCGACCCGCCTCCTCCGCCAGGACCTGCTTCCTTCGAGCAATGCAGCAGAGATGCCGGGACCACCCAGGCCTCACCGTGTGGAGCGGCCGCCAAGCCCTGACTCTGCTGTGCGTGTGGTGGCCATCTTGTGACGATGTCACACGTGAGGGCGTGAGGACCACCTAGGCTTTTATTACATAGCATTATGTATAACAGGGCATTGTAAAAATTAAGTTATTAAATTTTTTTTGAAACGTTTCTTACATACCGTATATTGGCTGGGCTGCAAAAACATTCATTGTAGGCTGCATGCAGCCTGCGGGCCGCCAGTTTGACATGCTTGTATTAGGTAGATCCTTTACGCCTCTCAATCTGTAGTGCAGGACAGTGTTACAGGCTGTTTCTGACTAATTAGATCAGGCAAAGACTCAAAGCCTCCAGAGATGGCCTCTGCCTACAGACTGATAGGATTCTGAGTTGAATTGCCCCCCAGGCAATTGTCCTCAGGTGTGATGAGAATTTTTTTCAACAGGGTGGGGCAACTCCTTTTGCCTGGAGGCTAATTGTTATTTCTGGTCTCTTAAGTGGCCTCAGGACAAGGTGTTTTCCAATAGGGTGTGTCGACTGTCTTCCCCCCAGGCAAGGCAAATGTCTATGTCGGAAAGATGTCCTCTGCTGCATGAGGGAATGACTCATCCCAGGAAACTTGGGGTGTCTGCCTTCTGAGCTCTAACCCTGGAGTCCCCAATCCTGGCTTCTGCTCTCACAGTTCCAGTCCACTTTACCCTCCCTCTGCCAGAGCACAAGGTGGGTGGTTCCACAGGAATTTTGTGCGTTGGTCCTTTAAGAGGGTGCCTGAATTTTCAGCTGTTACTCTCTTGCAGACAGCACCCTGCTGCTTTTCACAGCCAGATGTTATGCGGGTACCCTCCTCAGTTGTGATGCTCTCTGCTAGGAGGCCCAGCTTGGGGATTAGATCCCAGAGTTCTCAGTGGCAACCCCCACAGCTGGGATATCTCTCCAGGACTTCATTTGCTGTCTGTGGGCACCTGGCCAGCCCTTTCAGGCCTCCACCAGTCTCTATGCGTTCTCCACTTTCAGTCCTCGGGTATCACGGTTCTTTCCTGTGAGTTTTCTGTTGATTATTTAGGAAGTTTACTGTATTTTAGTTGTAATTCCAGTTTTCGTGAATCTGTTTTCTGTTCTCATCTTAAGTGACCGTGTTGTTAGCTGGTCCTGCAAACTCTGGGGATCTGAGCCCTGTGTACACGGGAAGGATGGTAGTCATCAGTCTTATTCCGCAGCTGACTTCACGTGGACCCTGATGGCCCCGGCGTCACTGTCTGGGACAGCTCTCTGCTGCACGCTCCTGGGTGTCAGAGTAATTGGCAGCCGAAAATGCAGGTGCCTGGGAAGATGAGGATGACGATGGTGACGAGGGTGGGAGGAGCGAGGAAACAGTGGGCAGGTCTCACAAGTGAGTGTCAATTTGCCCTCCAGGCTCACTGGGTCTACACCCGTGGCTGAGGACTCTCCGCAGGTGCCCAAGTTCCAGGCATGGAGCCTGGGAGCAGCTGTGGATCATCCCATCACAGCGATAAGCTCCGCCCCCACCTGGGCCCCAACTCCCACGGGATCAACAGGCAGGATGCACGGTCAGCCTTAGTAAAGATGGAGGCCTATGTCTATCATGACTGCAAACTTGTAATCCTGAAGCAAGAAAGGGTGCGTGGCTTCGACACAGAGGAGCAGCCAGGGTCCTTGGCTCCAGGCTGGGAGGTGGGCCCCGTCTGCCTGGCAGGTTCTTGAATGGCCTTGATCTTATCATTTGATTGAGGTGACACCAGAATGTTGCTCACTAAGGGGGTCAGTTTTCTAGTGGATCTGACCTCCAGGCACAGGGTGACCCTCTGCCAGGAAGGTCGACACCTGACCCACATTCTCAACCAGCAAGAGACAACCTGTCCCCACGGGGAGCTGTGAGGTGGGGGCAACCCTGCACGAGAAGTTGCCATGGGTGCCCGCATGGGGCATGGACGTGATGGGGACAGCAACACCCAGCAGTGAGGAGCTCATGCGAGGCTCTCCCACGCCACGGTCAGTGAGGCTCTCCCACGCCACGGTCAGCGAGGCTCTCCCACGCCACGGTCAGCGAGGCTCTCCCACGCCACGGTCAGCGAGGCTCTCCCACGCCACGGTCAGCGAGGCTCTCCCACGCCACGGTCAGCGAGGCTCTCTCACGCCATGGACAGCGTGAGGCTCCAGGCGAGAGCTCTCCCTGCCGACCTCCCACAACCTAGAGGCGTGCCTGCGACACCCGCCCCAAGCACTCCTGTGACCTGCCAGTTACAACTCCTTCCCAACCTGCTATCTCCCCGACCCAAAGGTAAGCACGCCCCGCAGACGCCCTGCCTCCCCGCCCTGCTTCCTTTGCTGAACAACTCCCTTCTCTTTCTGGGCGTGGACACTGCCCCTCCAGCTATAGCTCAGCGAGGGGCTCCCAGCCCAAGATGTCTGATGGCAGCCCAGGGCCTAGAAGCTGCTCCTGGCCGCCAGGCCTCGCAGGTGAGGGCACAGGGACAGGAGACTGGCCAAAGGTCAGAATTAGCTGAGAGCTGGGAGTGACCGGGAACCGATGACCACTTTTTGTCACTGGGTGGCAGGAATCTGCTTGGGTTCATCCGTTTGGCAGAAGCAGGATCGACCCCACTGCCCGCGTCATAAGGAGATGGCAGGCAAAGCCAATAGCAAAAGGTCCCTTTTCCCAGGCTCCAGCTCAGTCGGTTTCTGCGCGGCTCCCTGACCCGAACCTGTGCTTCTTCATGAGACACAGGGCAGGTCCTTTAGTCTCTCGGAGCCTCGATTTACTCACTGCAAACTGCGGGTGAAAATCTGTGTCTTCTTTTTTTAAAAATATATTTTATTGATTTTTTTACAGAGGAAGGGAGAGGGATAGAGAGTTAGAAACATCGATCATCAGTAGGTGTTACAAGGAGCAAGTACGATCAGATAGTAAAACACTTTGTAAGTTATAACCTGCCACTTGTCACTCTGATAAACTCCAAGGCCCCGAGGCCCAGTCTCTGAACAAAACCACGTCAGACGTGGGGCCGAGCCCCGAGTAGCTCAGAGGGCACTCCCTCTCTGCGGCAGCTGTCGGAGAGCACCGACCTGCCGCCCCCACCATGGCCTGCGACACGAGGCTGACACAGCCCCCCCTTCCTCTCGGGCCCCGGCCATATAGTCTCCACTGCCTGCCTCCCTCTCCCGTCCAGGCCCACAATTGAGCAGGACGCCTGGGACAGGAGCTCAGCTGCCTTAGCAAAGTGTAGTCTCTGTGGAGCGGGTGGGACGGGCCCAGGGCCCAGGCCCCTGCCTGTCACCTGTGACTCCTACCACCCCAACCTGACCAGGTGCCTGCAGACCTACTCAGATGCCTGATGCACAAGACGTCACCGCATCGAAGGAGGGCACAGAGGGCCTGTGGTGGATGCGGCCAGGCTCGGTGGACGGACCTTCCAGGCACACAGTCCTCCCGACACCCCTCCTGCAGAACGGCCCGCGCTGACTCGTCCCACGGGAGGCACAATTCCACGGCCACATCGGTTTGAGAAACGCTGGGTCAAACCAAGTCACATGGGTTTTGCCAACTCTGGAGCTGCTGGCAGGTTGAGACGGGCATTCAGTGCCAGTGCCTTACGGTATGTCTGGGTAACCTCCTTCCTTCCGGCTTTATTGCCGGGGACGCTGAGCCGTGGGGACAGTGACCCACAGAACACCGTGCAGGCTGCAGAGGGTGCGGCGAGATGGGTGTGTGGGCCTGGAGGGGGAAGAGGAGGCAAGCCCCATAGCTGCCCAGGTTCACTTCCTCCAGATCAGGGTTACTGTGCAAACGCAGCCACCCAGGACCACGCGGTCACCCCCACGCCTAAACCACGCGCCACGTGTCACCTCGCAGCCTCGCCGGTGGACAGCGTGGAGAGGAAGGGCCCAAGAGCGGCCACGCCTGCTCATCCCCGTCCCTCCCGAGGCTGACCCGACGGGAACCTGTGTCCGTCCGTCACGAGGTACAGAGTGCAGACGAGACTACAGGGCACGTCGCCAGGGGATGGCACCTCCTAGGCATCCCCGCGGCAGCGGTGCCTCCAGACCCGGCACCAGGGAGAGGGTCAGCGCCGGGCACTGGGTCCAGCAGGAGACCACAGGGGCAGGCCTGTCCCTTTACCTTCTTCTTGGACTTAAACACGTTGCACCTGAACACGTTGCTGGCACCGTCTCGGGCGATGTAGCTGAAGATCTTCAAGTCCTGGGAGTCGTGAGAGACGTAGAAGATCCTGCGGAAAAGCACAGGGAAACCCTGAGGACGTGGTCGGTGCCAACGTCCGCGAGAAACGCTCTGCCCAGGCGCCCTGCGAGCAGAGGCAGCTCCAGACATGACACGGGGCAGGGGCGCGGGACAGGCCCCGCAGTCACCAGCAGCGCCCATCCGGACTCCTGTGCTGCCCGGAAACCGTTCCACCCCAATTGGAGCTGGAGACGAGGTGGCCCCTCAAGGGGACAGACCCCTTTCCCAAATGCAGTCGCTCTCGGTCCAGAGCCACATGGTCTGTTGTGACAATTATTCTGTTCACAGACGGCCAGGGCTCCAGGCCGGCCCATCCTCCCCAACATGCCTCCTGCCTGCCTCCCAAGCTCCCCAAGGTCGCTGTGCCCCCGGCAGATGTGTCTTCCTTCTCCTGAGCGTGTGCGGATGGGCCGGATCCTGCGCAAGACCCCTGGCCCCTCCTCCATCCCCCGGGCCTGGCGCTCATCTCTGAAGTGCATCCCTGTCTCCACTCCCAGGGCCGCGCTGCTGCCTGCGCCAGCTCCTTAGCTCGCGCCTGGATCTTTCCAGCCTCTGTGTCTCCCCTCCACCGAGCCACCCCCTGCTGCCAGCACAGGGGTATTTTAAACACAGACGCCACCATTTCCCTCTGAAAGCCAATCAGAGCTGTGGACTCCCTCAGGGACAAGTCCTTCCAGTCTCTCCCTGAGTGCCAACTGCACACCCTTCCAAACGGGCCACGGTCCTCTTCCTGCCTCCGTGGCAGCTGTGACGCCCCAGCAGCCTCAGGACTCACAGAGGCCGCCCGAGGGTGGCGGGCCCGCCTGTGCCTGGCGCACACCTGCACCGAGAAGTTTACACGCAGCCCCAGAGGACGAGGCCCACGTCGAGGTGCCCAGCAGCCCAGCACCAGCGGCTGCCCGTCGCCACTCCTCCAGGCCCCACCTTCACTCTGACCGTTAGATGCCGTGTCCCACCGCGGTGCCCCGGTGCCCCTGCTCTGACACCCGAGCCGGTTCCTTCGGCAGAAGTCCTACGGGCTCTGCCGCCTGCACCCCCAGGGCCCCGGCTGCGTCTGGCACGAGGAAAGGGTGGTGAGCCATGAGCCGGGCGTCCGCACTTCACAGGCTGAGGGAACCACTGTCGGGGAACCGCTCACCCCTCTGGCTGCGCTCTGCAGACCTGCCTGCACGTGGCTGGAAAGAAGCCTGGGCTCTGGGCGGAGCGACCGGGACAGGCTGCCGGCGAGGAAGGCGGGCGCTGGAGCGGTCCTGCGGCTCCTCGGGGAAGGCCACACGGATGTCTCACTTATTACACTGTCCTGCTGCGCGCCAGCCTGAGGAGTAAGCCCCCACTGGTTCAAAGCCTAGTGAGACCCGAGCAACCCGCCCTCGTCCCCGCGGCTTCTCCCTCTCGGGGGGGCTAAGCTCACGGCTGTGACAGGTTCTCCCTCTCGTCCCACTGGCACCGCCCCTGCTCTCCGGGACCAACTGCACCCCCACACCTTCCCGCCAGGAGCTCCAGGGAGCTTCCTCTCGCCCAGTGGGCGGCAGCCGAGGACTGACACCCACACACTCCGAGGCTTTCATTCTCTCCGACTCAGGAGATTTCCCCAGTGACGTCACCTGCTGGCCTCAGGCCCAAGGTCTTTGAGGCTGCCAGCTGGTCCTGGGCCCGTCCCCTGGGAGGACCTGGCTTCCTGAGGACAGGCCCTCCCTCCCACAGGGCGGGCTGCAGCGAGGCTTCCCGGAGTCTGCCCCTCTCCTTCCCTACCCTCCCCCCACCCACTGACAGTTACCCTTTTGCTTCCAAGGCAGTGAGACCCCCCTATTCCCGTGGAGGGAGGTCAGCACAGACCTTCAGGGCAAAGTCACCATCACCAGAGCTCGCCGTCCCCAGCCAGTGCCCGACCCAGGGCCATGCCCTGTGCTCAGAGCGCCCGGGCTGTGGCCCTGCTCTCTCCCCCAGCTCCTCAGCGGCAAGGTGGTGCGAAGAGGCATCGAGGCCACGGAGGCTGGAGGCTGAGCCTGGCTCCTCCTCAGCCCGGTGGTCTCTCAGGGCCCCGCCTCCCCAGCAGCCAACAAAGGCCAGGGAGGGACTGGTCCCGTCACCCAGGGACAGATGTCCGTGTGGGCGCGGCTACACACACTTGTTACGCGTACCTGGGTATGAGGACGGCACGTCCGGCCACCCAGGAGGAAATGCAGCGCGGCAGCGCCTGTCCCCAAAGCGGGCGTCCAGGCGACTCAGGGCCGGGAGACACAGCCACGGAGCTGGGCGCAGCCATCGTTCCCGTCCGCGGCTCTTCTTGCTCTTGCCTCCACAGCGCCTGCAGGAGGCCGGGCACCTCCTGAGGCAGCTCCCTCCCCGCACAGTGGGACAGGTCACCTCACTTCCCGCCCGTGTCCCAGGGGTCACGCTGCGCTCTCACAGTCCCTGTGTGCTGTCTGTCACCTCCCAGTAGCGCACACGTCCGTGCTGTTCTCAGCGAACCTCCTGTGTCACCTCCCCAAAGGCCCGCGGGGCTGCGCTCAGGGCTCAACAGAGGTTTGTGTGTAGACCGGTCAGTTGGTTTACTCATCCATCGCTCAGTTCTAAGTAAAGGCCTACAGAATGAATGCACCACCCAGCCGGGAATTCTGCCAGGAGTGAAGAAATGAATTCAATCTACCAAATGTGCACTGAGCACACCTACGTACCCGACGGTGGGCACGGAGGCCGAGGACTGAGGCTGTTCCCACGAGATCAACTATGGGGCGCGGTTACGGTGTTTTGGCCAGGTTCAAGCCTCGGACTAATGAAAGGACAGGGTCCTCTCACTGCCATGTGCAAGTCCCAGCTGGAGGGCAGGGCCCTCCCAGCACAATCATAGCCAACGGCTGTGGTTGTGAGCTTGAACCTATGGTCCGAACACGTGGCCCCACGTGCCTTGTGATAGAGTTCGGGTGCATGTAGTTGAGTGAGGTTGAAACTCACGAGAATGCTGTAAACAACATGATCACACCCCTACTTTGCCTCGTGCCATCTGCTATAAAATAAAGACACGGCTTGTGGGCGCGGGCGCTGTCTCCTCATCAGGGAGCAGCGTCCCACCGAGACCCAGCTGTCATTCTCTTGTCTGTCTTTTCTCAATCCTTTCACCCCCCCACTCAGGATCACCTTTGGCCGTAACAATCAACACAGAAAACACAAGGACAACGGACAGCCTTGGGCTCCACAGGAGACCCTGTGGGGTGGGAGGGAGTCAGGGATGTGGGGCTTAAAGTGGACCTGGGAGATGACTGGCGCACCGGCCACTAGACCCAACGCATCCGGCTTCACCCGGGAGCCACAGCGCTGCTCGGGGCCTTGGGCCGAGGGTGTGAGGAACGCATCCTGCCAGCATTCGCACTTTTTCCTGAATTCCACGCATGGCCTCAGGCCTCCGCCACCCCTCTGCGCAGCTGCGGCCTGACCGGAAAGGAAGCCCCGTGAGGGCTCTCAGAGGTAGGCCCACCTTCCTGCTCAAGACACAGCACCTGCACTGGGCCAGGGCGGGATGCC